TTGTTTGTCTTCAGGCCTTTACAGAGCCTCTGCCCTTTGAGGGCCGGAAAAGCTTCGGAATTCAGCATGTACTGAGCTACTATTCCTCCTGTCAATCACTTGACACAGCAGCCCATTTATTCCTCACAACAACCTGGTGAAGGAGGTGGTGTTGGTTCCATTTTACAGATTCAGTGACTCAGTTGTGATTGTTGACTCATCCATTAGTACCAGAGCCGGCGTGACCTCCTGAAAGCCTCTGTGATACTCAAGGACAGTGAGCCACACCTATCTGGATTGTATCTGGGTGTCTGGTGCTTTGGGCCACTCTCCCCCTGGGGGGTTGCTTCCTAAGTTATCCTAAAATATGGGTCTAGGAATCTTGCCAGCCTCTGTGCCATCTTTAATATAAGAGCCAGTACCTTATCAAGACCTCCTTCAGAGTACAGCTCCCGATGGCCTTTCCGACAGCCCTTTCCAGGCACCATCGCCCCCACTTCCCTCACGAGGCATGCCCTTTGTTTGCCCTCTCGCCCTCTAGCTCGGAATGCCCTGCTTGTCATTCTGCACAGCTTGAAATCATTCTCATCCTTTAACACCCAGCTTGAACCAACCTCTGGGAATCCTTACCACTTGTCCCTGTAGCTCTATATTGTAGGTCGCTTTGCCTTAATTCAAGGGATTTGGGCACACTCTGGCTCCTTTACTCACCCTGGCTGCTTCTCCTCTGACCCAGAGGTGCCACATTAAAAGTGTGTGGCAGTGTTGGCAGCAGAGCATCCTGTACCTGGAGGGCTGCAGCCTCCTCTGCTCCCACCACCCCCACAGGACAGTCACCTGCCCAGGCGCCACTTGGCTTGTTAGAGACAAGGCTAAATGGCCCCCAGGATGGCAGAATGATGCCAGGCAGGCGCCTGACACACCTCCTGGACAGGAAAATATTTTTCTTCCTCTTAATAACAGTTATTAAGGAGACTGTGCCCAACACACTGCAGCCAAGGTCTGGGCTTAGCTATTTGTATGGCTCCCATCACTCTGGGCCCCCACCCCTAGGCCCAGCCCTGTGGCCAGGATCCATCTACCTACTCTCTTATTGCCCTTTACCCACTCAGCCCATAGGGAGGGGCTGCCAGTCCTGCAGCCCTGAGGGATTTAATTTGATTTTCACGCCTTCAGGATGTCGGGGATCCCTTTAACTCAGTCTTTGCATCCCTGTCCTTCTCAGTTGAGCTCCCTGTACCACAATCCAGAGTTGGGGTTAAAGACCGCTGCCACCCAGGTACTCATGCACACAAACAGACCTGCACCCGGATAGGCACACATGAGTATGTATGAGGTCGGACAATTAAGTTAGAGAACTCATCCTAGAAAAAGTGCTACATACCTCATTGCTGAATATCACTATGGTCACCTTCAAAGTGCTCCTCTTGGGAAGCTATGCACTGATGCCAGTACCTAGTCCACCCTTCAAATCAATTTTGGAACTCTTTCTGGAATGGCCATCAGAGCTGTTGTCATATTACCCCTGATGTCCTGAATGTCATCAAAATGTCTTCCTTTCATTTCCTTTATCTTTGGGTAAAGAAAGAAGTCATTGGGGGCCAGATCAGGTGAGTAGGGAGGGTGTTCCAATACAGTAATTTGTTTACTGGCTAAAAACTCCTTCACAGACAGTGCCCTGTGAAATGGTGCATTGTCATGTTGCAAGAGCCACAAGTCGTTGGCAGAAAGTTCAGGTCGTCTTTTTCACGCAGCCTTTTCAGCACTTCCAGATAGTAAACTTGGTTAACTGTGTGTCCAGTTGGTACAAATTCATAATGAATAATCCCTCTGGTAGCAAAAAAGGTTAGCAACATCATTGCAACAAGTTCTTATACTTAACTGTCATACCTTGTATACACAGATGCACACATGGGTAAATATATAGTGACGTGCCGCTAGATACTTAAAGATAGCCAAGCAGACGCACAGATGTCACAGTATGTCCATGCACAAAACATGCACAGGTACAGTTCTGCCTAGGTATAGGTATAATATATATATTGAGTTGAGCCATACAAAATTGCCAGTATTCAGTGGCTTTCTACCTACAAAAATGGAGTCTAATACAAACGTGGGCATGGAGGGAAATATACAAAAATACGGAGCCCAATTTGTACACCCATGTTCAAGCAGCATCATTCACAATAGTCCAAGGGTGGAAACAACCCAGTGTCCATCAGTGGGTGAATGGATAAACAACACGGTACATACACACACTGGAATATTATCCAGCCTTAAAAAGGAAGGACATTCTGACACAGGCTACAACATGGCTGAACCTTGAGGACATTATGCTACATGAAATATGCCAGTCACAGAAGGACAAATGCTGTATGATTTCAATTATATGAGATACCTAAAGTAGTCAAATTCATAGAAAGTAGAGTGGCGGTTACCAGGATCTAGGGGGAGGGGAAAAAGGGGAGCTGTTATTTAATGGGTACAAAGTTTCAGTTTTGCAAGATGAAAAGAGTTCTGGAGATGGATGATGGTGATGGCTGCACAACAATGTGAATGTACTTAATGCCACTGAACTGTAAATGGTTAAGATGGTAAACTTTATGTAACATGTATTTTACCACAACTAAAAATAATTTTTAGGGCCAGCCAAGTGGCACGTTGGTTAAGAATTGGCTTGGGATGCCAGCTCTGAGCAGCAGGGCCCCGGTTCGGTTCCCATATCAGGGCCAGAGACGTTGCTCCCTCTACAGCTAAGATGGTGAACAACAGCTCAACTTGGAGCTGGGCTGCTGTGAGTCGCCGGGGATGGTGTTGGCTGCAGTGGGCTGCTGTAAAGCTACCGTGAGTGGCTGGCAGCCAGTTGTCCAGTGACCAGAGACCAATCTGCCTCACCCAGGAAGAGCGCACTGATAATACCAACATGGGCCAGTGAAGTGACATCCTCCAGAACAAAAGGACAGCAACTTGTCTGTTCCCCTTCCCCGATTCCCCAACGCTGTTCCCTCCCCTAATTTCCCAATAAAATCTTTAAAAGATAATAACAATTTTTAAAAAGTTAGAGTCAGAAATATATACCAGCAGGTAGACATATACACACTGATGGATAAACACAGGAACTCAGCAACACAGAAACATGGCTGCCTCCTCTCCCAGAAGCACCTTTTTCACCTAGGTTAAGGCTCTGGTTCTCTCCTTAAACAAATCTGGAGATAAGGCCTTAATGAAGGCCCTGCCAGCTCTCTACCCCCACAGCTCATTACCCTCCCACAGTCTGGCTCTGCTTACTCAAACCCCTGCCCCTCACAGAGCCTCCCCACCCCCGGGAAAGGGCCTCCTTTGAGCGCCTGGTGCTCCCATTTCTGCGTCTATCCCTGAGATAGGATGGAATGTTCCAGCATTTCAGGTCTTAGCCTATGGTTCTTTTTTGCCCCACCCTTGTCCCCTCTCTCCTAGACTCCTTAAAGACAAAAGCCCAGCCCTATTCATCTTTGGTCCCAGGGCCCGACTTGACAGAGGAGGGGGGGTCCTAACTAGCCCCCTACTTCCATACATGCGTTGGGCCCCGTGTGAAACTGTGGACACAGAAGAACCTGTGCTCTGGACATGATCACAGACCAGATGAACCAATTTGCAATCAATTGGTTCTCGAGACATGGCGTTAAGTCTCCTGCTCTCCTGGCCATCCTCATTGAACCACGTCCCTCCGTAAAAGGACGGTCCCTCAAGCGGCACTGTGCACCGCTGTGACCATTTCCACTTGCCCTGCCTCCCCAGCTAATTGCCATCTGCTGACCCCCCCTTCTCCAGAGCAAAATCTCACCCCTGCTCCCGAGGACTCTGGGACTTTGGCATGTGTTAGGAGCTGAGATAAGAAGCCTGCCTATCTTATCTCCTGACTTTGCAGTGTGTCCCCCATCCTCTGAAACACCCTTCCTCACCAACCATTTAATACTCAGTTCCTGAGGAGAGGAGGGAGGCTGCAGTCTGGCCCCCACTAGGCCAAGAGCTCCCCTGGAATTGAAAGTATTGGAAATGCAGCCATTTGGGACAGCCTTTCTCAGGGGCCCACTGTCCCAGGTGCACCAGGGCACTTGTTAAAAAGGCAGGTTTCAGAAGCCTGATAAGGTGGGTGGAGCCTGGGGATCTGCATTTTAACACATCCTAGCTATTCTTGGGGACGGTAGGGTGAGAGCCGCTGCTCTAGACCGTTGGAGGATGGGCTCAGAGCTGTGGAGACTGAGTGCCACAGCAGGGAGGTGGAAAGTGACAGGGCCATTATGGGAGCAAAGAGACCCAGATAGGGGACAGATAAGTGATGTCTTGGCAGTTATGTGTGACACTCCCTTCAGCTTATTTAGGGCCTGTGTGCAGGTGTGCTGAGGCTTGCAGTATCGATCATGGTATGTTCAGGGATGTGGCCATTCTCTGAATTAGTGTTTGGGTCAGTTTACACAAGTGTGATCAGAATGTGTGCTCTGCGCATGTCAGCCTGTAGCCTATGTCTGTGGGCTGTCAACTCTCAGTACATCAGTCAGCCTGCCTGCTTGTGTGTTCACGTCTCTACCTCAGTGTCTTGAGTCATCTACCGACCCTGGTGTATGCATGTGTGCATGTGCCCCTGAGCAGGCTTGGGGCCCCCCTGTACCATCATATAACTTCCATGGGGGCTCTGGACGGTCAGGGTTTGGAGGACACCTGCTAGGAGCCTGGTGGGGATTGGGCAGCCAATGCTGGGGTGGGGTGGGGGCAGGAGATTGCTAAGGGCCTACCACTGATGTTTTTCCTCGGAGGGCAAGTCCCAACAGCAGGCAGACAGGTGAGGCTGACCCGACAGGTTTCAGAAGCCAGGGGCAATGGGGCGGGGCATAGCTCTCTGACTTAGGGTGGCAACGGTTGGGGGCCCTGCCACACATGCAGCGAGCAGGCAGAAGACAGGTTTGCTGGTATTTTCTTCCTGATGCAGCCAGCCCGGGATACAGGCATGGAGACGACTGGAGGGTGACGGCAGCCACTTAGGCATGTTTGGAGGCCCAGGGCCTGGGGGCCTGGGAGCCCAGGGCATGGCAGGACCCCTGCGGGGCAGGGTGGAGGAGCTGAAGCGGCCATGGTGGCGGGAGAGCTCACCACTGGTGCTTCAACACAGCGAGGCAGCCCGGCTGGCAACCGACGCCCTTCTGGAGCGGGGTGAGGCCGCCTACCTGCGGGTCATTTCTGAGGAGCGGGAACTGCCTTTTTTGAGCGCCCTGGATGTGGACTACATGACCAGTCATGTGCACGGGAGTCCTGAGCTTGGAGAAGCCCAGGGACTGGAGGCCTCAGGGCCAGACCACCTCAGCCTGCTCTCCGAAGTCACCTCAGGCACTTACTTTCCCATGGCATCTGACATAGACCCCCCAGACCTGGACTTGGGCTGGCCCGAGGTTCCACAGGCCACGGGCTTCAGCCCTACCCAAGCTGTGGTCCACTTCCAGCGGGACAAGACCAAGAACATCAAAGACCTCCTGCGTTTCCTCTTTAGCCAGGCACGCATGGTAAGGACCTCATTTCTTCAGACATTCATGCCACAGATATGGAAACTGAGGCCCAGGGAGGGAAGGGACAAGCCCAAGGACACACAGCAGTTTAGGGGCAGCACTGGGACGCAAACCTCAGCCCTCTATCAGATCACAAGCTCCTAGAGGGTGGGAGTGTGTTTCATTTACCTTGGATAACCCCTTATGGATAAGCATAGTATAGGGGATGGCCCTCAGAGGACCCCACAAGCACCCTGAAAATGCATGTGAAGTTGTGCATATTGCAGGGAGAGAGTCTCCCTGTATCTTTCTTGGGAGAGGGTCTATGGCCTTCCTCAGATTCTCAAAAAAGGCTTATGACCCCCAAACTAAGAACCCCATCCTTGGTGAACATCTGAGTTACCCCTTTGACTTACAGAGAGGGGCTGGGACTTGCTCAGGAAGGTCCAGTCAGTTGGTGAAGATCTCAGGGCTCAGGGAGAGAGGAGAGGATCCTGACTCAGGCCCTCGGCCCCAGGTATAGCCCTGCCTCCTGGTGCAAGTCCCCATCTGCCCCTCGCCGCTAGTGCACTGTATCTCCAGCTGGGCCAGAAGCAGGGGACCTCTCACTCAAGAGGCAGGGGAATGAATCAGATGACCCTAGGCAGGATTTGAGGTGCCCTTATCTGGGGGAGCAGCCCGGAGAGTACCAGGAGCCAGGATGCTGGGATCTCACTGGTCCCTCCAGAACCTCCCTGGAAGGCCCGCCTGCACCCCAGGCAGGGGAGGGCCCGGCCTAATTGGCACTGGGAACGAAGTTATTAGTGAGGTGGCTGCTGTCACCACCCCTGCCCCTTTGATCTTCCCTGCCTGTCCTTGTTCCCTCCACTCCTGGCCAGGCCTGTGCATGGAGTAGGGCATCCCCAGAGCCTTGCCTCCTCACCCCCCATTTAGACCTTCCACCTCTGGGCCAGAAGCCAGGCTTCCACTCTGAGTGACTTTGAGAAGGACTTCCTTTCCCTGCCACCCAATGTTCTTTTTAAGGAGGCAGCAGGAAAGGAACGTTTCTTTAGCCTCTGTTGTGTGTTGAGTATTTTCACATTGAATTTCCCATAACTCTGAGATGTAGCTATCATGATCTCCATTTAGCAGATGGAAAGTTGAGGCTCCCAGAGGTGAAGCAGCTCGCCCAAGGCCATGTCACTAGGCCGTGGCAGAGTGCAGGTTTGAACCCAGTTCTTTGTGGCTCAAGCTGAAGTGCTTTGCTCTGTACCTCCTGCCTGTCAGCCTGGACTAGGGGAGGAGGTTCTCACAGCAGATCTATGCAACGGGAAGGGACGGTCAAGGATTCTCAGCGCTTCTCGGAGGCAGCCCATTACTAGAGAGGCCACAAGCCTTAGCCCCTCAACTGAGCAGAAAACCCAGTCCCACTTGGTGTGGGTAGAAGGGAGGGAGTCTGTGGGTGTAAGATGTCACACAGACCTCTGTAGCTTCACAGGGAAACTGAGGCATGTCTGGCAAAGGGCATTCAAGACTGGCTTGCAGCTCTGATCCTTGTGAAGGGAGCCTCAGACAGACGGTCCCTGGGCTAGTGCTAGTGGGGACAGTATAAAGATCTAGACTGGGAATCGGGGTCTAGGTTCTGCTTCTGACTCTTTCCCCTTTCTGGGCCTCAGTTTCCCCATTCATAGAGTGGAGCATTAGACTGGTGCAGTTCATCCACAGACATCTTTGAGAATCTTATGACAGACACACACTCTGTCCTCAGAAAAAAAATGGACACAAAAACTTGCAAACAACTTCTGGGGGTTTAAGACCGTGAAACCTCCTCCCTGTGTCTGAACCAAGAATCGCTCGGCTAGGTCATTGCTAAAAGCCCTTCCCGTTCAGGCTTCCTTGCAGGCTCTTGCCTGACTTCCAGTCCAGTGCTCTTCACCTGCCCTTGCCCCTGGCCTGGGCAGTGACCTTGGCAGGCCTGAGCTTTCCCTCCCTCCCCCAGGTGGTGGCTGTGGTGATGGACGTCTTCACCGACATGGAGCTTCTCTGTGACCTCATGGAGGCCTCCAGCCGGCGTGGTGTCCCCGTCTACCTGCTTCTGGCTCAGGAGCACCTGAGGCACTTCCTGGAAATGTGCTACAAGATGGACCTCAATGCGGGGCACCTGCCGGTCAGCGAGGGACAGGGACGGGGGCAGGGGCAGTAACCAGGGAGTGGGGTGGGGAGTCAGGGAAGGCAGAAGAGTCAACTGGGTGGTCACTGAGCATTCAGGGGGTCAATGGCAGTGGGGAGCCGGGTTCCCTCAGCTGTTTAAATCCCCATGAGATTTAGACGTGGCTTGAGTCCCATTCTCCCAAGGTCAGCCCCCAAACTTCATTCCTCCTCGGTCCAGAACATGCGTGTGCGGAGCACATGTGGGGACACATACTGCAGCAAGGCAGGTCGCCGCTTCACCGGGCAGGCCCTGGAGAAGTTCGTCATCATCGACTGCGAGCAGGTGGTGGCAGGCAGCTACAGGTGAGCAAGCGGGATGGAGGGGAGGGGGTCCTGGGGCTGGGACAGTTGCGGGCAAGGGCAGCTGGGATCTGGCAGCTTTGAACTTGCCTTCGTTCATCCATCTCTTCCAACACGGACTGAGCAGCTGCCCCATGTCAGGCATTGTGCAGGGCTCAGGGGACAGCATGGGGAGCAAGACAGCCCCAGGCTGGGCCCTTGGAGGCGCTCGCTCTATGGAAGGACTTGAGTGCCGTTGGCATAGAAAATAACAATTGCACATCAGAACTAGAGGGGCATCAGGTAACCTCGCCCCTGGTTCATTTTACAGATGGGGAAGTTGAGGCCCTGAGATGGGGAACCATGCCAAGTCCACTAAGCCGGCTAGGACTCTCACAGACCCTGGAGTCAGAGCTGTGTCCCCTCTCTTGGGCCCTTGTGGTGGAGTTGTCTTGGTATGCCTTTCCGGCTGTGACACCTGCCTAGCCCGAGTCCTGCACTGTGCCTCCTGACCCTGACCCTCTGCCCGCAGCTTCACCTGGCTTTGCAGCCAGGCCCACACGAGCATGGTCCTGCAGCTGAGGGGCCGCATCGTGGAAGACTTTGACCGGGAGTTCCGCTGTCTGTATGCCGAGTCACGGCCTGTGGAGGGCTTCAGTGTTGGTGAGGATTCCAGGGCACAGTGCCCTCCCCCGGTGGCCCTGGCCTTCAGGCACAGCATCCCAAGCCCCATGTCCTCATCGCCCTCCAGCACCAGCCTCAACAGCATCAAGTGCTCCCCTCTCATGGGCCGCTCCTCCTACCTTGCGCTACCAGGAGGTGGTGGCTGCAGTGACACGGGTATGGAGTCCTCTTCCTCAGGCCCTGCCCGTTGTGAGGCCAGTGACCAGCCCTCCCTGCAACGTCAGCTGTCAGATCCTAACCATAGCTCCCTACCAGGGCCCTACAGGGCCAACCTGGGCAAGCTGGGAACATCTCCATGGTCCCAGTCTTCCCCTGCCCTCAACCACAATAGCACCAGCCTCTTGACCCGGGCAGCGGGGTCACCTCTGCTTGCTCGCCCACGCCCCCTCCTCCCCTACCCCCGGGGTGTCCCAGGCCTGTCACGGCTCCCAGAGAATGGGCTCCTGGGAAGCCAGGAGCCTAGTCCCCCACGAGGTCGCTGGCTACCTGGCACAGCCCTGGAGGAGAAGAAGGTGTCTCTGAGTCAGAGCCATGGCCAGCTGGATCTCCTCGTCCCCTTCTCCAGAGACCAAGAAGCAGGAGGCCCTGATTCTGGGGTTACTCCCAACTCAGACTCCCTTTGGCCTGGAGAGCAGGCCCCAGATGATAAAAAGTTGTCCCTAAAACAAAGATACAACCAGCTGGATCTCCTGCCTCGGGCCCAGAGTGCCGGGGTTGCCCCTGAGTCAGGTTCCCCCAGACTTGGCAATCGGACACCAGAGGACAAGAGGCTATCTTCAAACCACAGCTATGGCCAGTTGGACCTCCTGGTACAGTACCCCAAAGCCAGGGGCTCCAGAGTGCCCCCTGAAGCCAACTCCTCAGCCAGGGCTGGCAAGCAGGGTCCAGATGAGCGACGGCAGACCTTGGGCCACAGCCAGCTGGACCTCATCACAAAATTTGGCCCATTCCGGGCTGAGGGACCTGGGCCCAATGGTCTCCCTGGACCGAACCCTGCTCGCAAGCCTGGAGTAGGCTCTGGGGATGAGAAGCGGCTGACTTTGGGCCATAGCAAGCTGGACCTCATCACCAAATATCATCAGTTGCAGAGAGCCAGGCAGGGACCTGAGCCTGGCCTCCCCGGCGGCCCTGCAGGTGGCCATTGCAATGGTAGTAGCAGTGGCCCATTTGGGGATGAGAAACGGATGACCCTGGGCCACAGCAAACTGGACCTCATCACTAAGTACAACAAGTCCAAGTTCAAGCTACTCAAAAGCCGCTTTGAGTCCTAATCTTGCTACCAGCCGGGACATGTCCCTTTTCCATCCACTGAGGCTCTAAATTTGCTCTGGGTGGGAGCTCAGGCAGGGGCTGCATGAGGAGGAGAGGGTGTCTAGAAGTCCAGGTTAGACACTCTCTGGGCTCAAAATTCTTGCACACACACACACACACAGAGAGAGAGAGAGAAAGAGAGAGAGAGAGAGAGAGAGAGAGAGAGAGAGAGAGAGAGTGAGAGAGAGAGAGAGCGAGAGAGATGGAACCCACTGTGCTGGGCACTTCACACCAGTAACTTCTCATCCTTCATCTTCACAACATCTTATAAGATAGACCTCTAGTAGGTATACATTTCTAGGAACATAGGTATTATCCTACCTATTTTATAAACATGGAAGCTGAAGCCCAGACAGTTTGATAACTTGCTTGGAATCAGGTCTAAGTAAGTGGCAGAGTAGGAGACACAACCTGTGTTTTTTTTGTACAGACATGACACACAATATCAACAGTTCATGTGTTCCCATACACACAAAATATGCACATCACAGAGATGCCCCAAATGCCTGCACAATATACATTGCACACTGACAGGGTTCACACCCACAAGCTGCACACCCATAGACACAATAAATGTCTTTTGGCTAAATGAAGGGCTGTGCAAAATATATGTATTCAGTCACATTGTAGACCCCTTAGGATCCAGAGACCATCAACACACACACACAAACACACTATGTACCAACCAGTATTTTCTTGTTCCTAAGCTGTGCACCCAGTCCTGCTGGGCAAGCCATAGGGCTGACAAATAGATCAAACACAGTCCCTGCATTAAATGCATAAACCACTGGCCAGCAAGACAAGGCTGTATCTAATTAAAGGCTAACCAGTGACAGAGGGTGGTAGAGAATGAAGGACAGAGAGCTGTGGTGACGGTGGAGTGGTGAGAGAGCGCCAGGCCTTGAAGGATGGGGAGGCTTTAGACAGATGGAGGAGAGGGTTAGAGGAATTCCTGGTAGAGGGAATCAGGTGAAGAGAGACCCGGGAGGGGACTGAGGGAGTGGGTCAAAGATGAATTGGGGAGAATGTAGAGGATGTGCAGACTCAGACTCTGACACACACACACACACACACACACACACACACACACACACACACATTTTGCTGAGTGTTCTTTGAAGCACAGGCTCTGACAAGTTGTGGGTCCTTTTCCTGAGCTCACCACCTGCCTGGGACAGTATTATACATGATATAAGTCAATAAAGGCAGACGTGTTATGACCCAGCAGCATCTTGGTACATCTCCAGAGGGCGGAGTTATGGAACTATGCGCGGTGGGGGGGGGGCGGGGCGGCGGCAGGGGCGTGGCACCATCAGGCCAATTATGGAGGGCTCCCTGGAAGAGTGTGGATGGCCACAGGAGGGCTGAGGGGAGGAAAGGGGCTCCAAGCACCCTCTGCCCTCACTGTGACATTCTGAGAGCCCCTGGGGATTTTGTAGATCCTACAAAATGTGGGTCAAGTGCATCCCGTCTATGAGCGCATATGCCTTGACCGCCACCCTCTACGGTATCTATCCCTATCCCGGGGACAGAAAGTGGTTGCTGAGTGAGTGATCAAGCACATGCAAGGGGCACATTGTGGAAGCCAGTCAGCACCCCTACCCTTGCCCACTCAGGACCCTTTCTAATACCCTGCTTCATCCATCCTCCCCTCTCTCTAATACCTTCTTCAGCCTGGTTTCCTCTATTTCTCCGGCAGTGCCTCCTTCAGACTCTGTGGTGGTCTCACTTCTCACCTGGTCTCACCTTCTCCATGGGTGACCTCATCCACTCCAGGCTTCAGCCCCAAATCTCAGCACTTCACTCTCCCCTGGGATCCAGATCTGGCCTGGAGGTCTGTCCCACACCTCACACTCAGCAGGTCTCCTTCCCTACACCTGCTCTTTCTCCTCAGGCTTTACTTCAGTAAATACCTCCGTCAACCCATCAGCGAGACATCCCTGGCTCCTCCTCTCTTTGCTTAACATCCAACCAGCCACTTGTACCTCCTAAAAGGCTCCTGAATGAGTGAATGATGAAAGGAAAGAAAGAAAGAAAGA